AAATCAAAGGCATATTCCATTCGGCATAAGGTAGCATAACATCTTCTAATATTCTAAGGTAAAGATAACGGTCCATATTTTCCCGAATCCAAAACAGCGGTCCGACACCGTACCACGAAAAACATCCCCATATCATTATATTCCCTCCACCATGCTTAAATGTTTTTGTTGTGTACCTGGGATTCATTTCTGCATTTTTTGGACGTCGGACCCACACTTTTCCATCATTGCCCACCATATTTACTTTAGATTCGTCAGACCGTAAAATATTTCGCCACTTCTTTAATTTTCTGCACCGGACCAATTAAAGAGAGCTCTCGAAAAAATTACCCGACTAAGTCTCTGTCTTTTTGTCAACATTGGGACCTTTCGTGACAATCTGCCGAATATATTCCATTCTACAAGACGACGAGCAACAGTTCTTGAAGATATTTCCACATTTATTTCCTTTTGAATGACCGCAGCCGATTTGAAAGGATCGCATTTTGATAACCTCTCTATGAAATTATCGTCCGCTGGCGTTGTTTTGCGTGGTCGGCCTCTCAGTTTGCATTCTTTTGGAGGAGATAGAGCAGTAAACACAAATTTTTGTGATCTATTAATAATTTTTGCGATTTCCCTTTGCGTAAAACCATTTTTTTGCAAATTTTGTATGTGTTTACGTTCTTCTGCAGTACAATGCTTTCCGCGACCCATTTTTCCTAAATTAACGCAAATTTCATTAAGAATTGTTTAAATACGCCAATTTATAACTTACAATACAGTTTACGCACCAAAAATCACTTCGAATTGCTTGTTTCCTTTTTTGATTCTATTTTATTGCCACAATAGTCAAAATACACTCTTGCAAATTTTAAGCATAAACATAACAGTAAAACGAAAAAGTGTTGCCATTATGACATCTTAAACGATAAATAGTGTACTAATTCGATTACAGACGAAAGTTATCGGAAATATATAGCAAAGAGCAAAAACCGCTGATTGTTTCGGAACAACCGACTTGATTCTATTTTATTGTCAGTAACTGTAACAGGACGAATACACTAGAACAGCTTAATAGATCAAGAGAAGAAGTATTTAAAATTGTAGGAAACATTACGGGACACTGGCCCAGAAGGTAGCGAAGAAAGTGTCCAGCATCTCCTTCGGGAACTACCAGATCTAGCGGCTACTAGGCATAAAGTGCCTGGAAGACATATACAAACAAAACTTGCAGATATATCAGAAAATTCATCAGGAAATCAAGGTTTGACCGAAACATTTAGATATATATAGGTATTTAGCATTCTCACGAAAGTGCCTCAAAATGGCGCCCAACGCGATAATTGTATGTATTGTAGTAGTAAGCTTCCTAATAAGTGGAGTTCTGTTAAGAAAATTTCTACATCGAACTTTTACCGAATTTTTAACCAGCAGGACTTAATTCGAGAGTGTTAATGCTGCTAAGGCTAAATTATTTTCTCCGAGAATAGCTTTTAAAAAGTTAAAGTAGACTTTATGTGCTTATATGTATCGGTCAATACAAAAGCATATCCCGTGAGAGAAGCTTTTTTAAATTTCGCATAGATTTTATATGAACCCGCACAGAGCAAAAGCTCACATAGCCTGCAATAACTACATAGGTCATAAGTAGATATGTATGTTGAATCCAGTACTATAAGGCAGTACGAACTAGGAGACAGTGGGCAAGAGCACTTGAAAAGCTTAACAGGCAATGAATTTAAAACTATTGACTAAGCAGATAAGCTAGTCATCTACGTGGAGGCAAGTTTGCCTCAGCATTGCAAGCAGCGGTAAAATTTAATCAGAAATGGTGATTTAAAATAGTATATTAATAAAACCACTAAGACCAAACTTTGTGACCGAGAAGAAAGTCAACTCGAATTTGGAGGTTGGGTTATCGCAAGAGGGGAGGTATCTAGAGATAACCAAGAACAAAGTAGAAGTTACATCTCGTAGCTGTTACCGGAAAGGCTCTCAGAGACCTAATGGTTTGAGATGGGGCATATCCCCCAAACTGACATTTTGTCACTCAGTACAGTGATAAAACCGAGCATATGTAGGTATGCAGCACTGGTCTAGTGGCCAAAAGTCAAGCAAACTGTAGCCATGTCCACCTATAAA